CCAGTTATCGACCATGTATTACTCTGTGCGGCGGCTATCCACCAACTAACTTAAATACTTACGACAAATAAACGGTAGGTGTTTGAATGAAGCTGTTTCTTATGCGAACACAAATCGATTTATCAAGTTTTATCTGCTAGGTTTATGAAAGTGTTTGGCTGAGTAGATCGCATCTCAATTTGACCTTTCCAGGCTCTGAAGAAGGCGAAACCGCCGAAACGTCAGCAATTGTGTTCTAATAAATTCTATATTAACAACCTCGTGTCTGCTTATTGATGAAAAACATTGAATTATCAATTAATGCCGAGGTTAACAGAAAGTCGGTCATGGAAAATGAATAACCTTCACTGGATTTGTTCTTTCAACTCAAATTACATTATAATGAGTTGACACCAACGTGAAATTACCATACAACAAACAGGCACCATAGATGATGAGGAAGGCATTTTACACTATGGATTTCGATGGAGTCTATGTCTGTACAATTATTTGGAGATAAGCACGTATCTGATGAAGCAAATAAAGCACCTACACTACCAAACACCTTGCTTGGATACTTGAATGGTCCATCTTTACCGGTTATGCGGGCCCCAGCATAATTTCCATTGCTTAGTTTTGCTGGCTTAGCCGTTGTGGATCCCTGGAGTCCCGAGGTTAGTCTGGCCAAAGTCTGCCCCAGGTCGTCACCATCAAAGGCAGCTGCCCACCACTGTGGATCAGGAGATTTGCCATTATGCGACTAGTTTGACACCAGGGCGGTGTTGGATCTGCTATTGGTTTATTCTTAGCTGAGTTTCCTGATGGAAACGCCAGACTCTTTCTTAGCTTAGGAGGCCCTGCCAAGAGATGAATCCCCCTGATGTTCATCGCAGCCCAATACCCGGGAACACCTCCCAGCCACGATGAAACGGCAAATGGTTAGGAGGATTGGACATCTAACACAAATGATACTGAAAATGTATTTACTTTATTGAACGACATATGAGAATGCATCACAACTAGACTATTTAGGGCTACTTCTAATCCTAAGCCGAATTTTAACGAGATTTTTGTTGCGAAAACTACTATAAGAAGTGTAATGGGTCAAGGATCACTTCTCTTCATAAAATCACAAAAGTGATGATGGAAAGGTAGCACCGAGACATTTCACTACAAATATCACAATGTTTTGGCTGGATTCATGTAAGAAGTGTAAAATTTCTTAACTGTATTGTAAATGCTAACAGATCACAACTCACATATGAAGAATGAAACAAACGTAAGTGAGATGATCCAGAAGACTGATAAGATCACCAGTAAAGAACCTATACTTTGTACGCGTGAGAACTACATTTAGGTCAAGATAGATTGATATTATGACAAGTACCTGTCCTTGGAAAGAAAAATACAACCCAGCTCCGAAGATGCCGACCTTGTGTGGAGAAAAAAAGGGCTATGATGTATGAATTAAACAACTAACGCAAAAAGCTAGGATAAAAAGGAAAACTATGTTCAGCTAAAGCACATAGGTAAATCAACCAGCACTAAAGATGCTTTCAAAGTTAAAAATATCACAAAGAATTCACGTTGAACTGTATATGAACTCCGCAATATCTGGCATTATCAGTTCAGCTCTGGCCAAAACGGCATGAAACCAGCTGTCAGATTGCAAGTCGAGAGCACAGCGACATTCGTTCAAAGAGAAACGAGAACTCTTCGTCGCCGAACACTTTTCAGAAGGAAGCGGCTCACTGAAGCACTATTGTCACGGTTCTTAGAAGTCTTTGGAAAATTCAAAGTTCTTAAAGATAGTGAGAAATACTAAATACCTAGCATGTTTTACATACAAGATAAGCGCTTGTGCCATATTTTCGACATATAATAACAACTGATTGACAAGACCCATCCGAGCAGACTGCTGAAAATTAAAATAATAAAGGATTTGTCGTTTTTCCTTTATAAGCACTATACCTCAACTGGAAGCAAATCCATTCTTCTCACAAATGCTTTGACACATTCAAGAATTCGACACGTGCTCAATTCCCTTAAGTATTTGTACCGAACATTTGAAAGAACTTAAACGAAGACATTGGTTACCAACTGTTCCCAATGTAAAACTTTCGCTACGGAAACTATGTTCATGAAGAACTTACAAAGTCACGGGTTTGTTTTGGAAAGCGTTATTGAGAATGGTATCGATTCTCTGAGCATCGACTCTCCGTTTCAAAACTCGATGACGACTGTAGTGAGCCGACATACACACCATAGAACGATCAACGTCCACTACACATAAAGGCCAGTTCGCAAGCGCGCCACATTGCATCACATTCGGTAACTCGTGCTGTAAATGTTTCAATCGAAAGCTTATTTAATGATAATTACAATAGAAAACTAAAGTGGGATAGGACAACATAACGCTTGCACAACCCATACGTGAGAGGTACAGTAAGCAGTACGAACTCTTTCAAGTTCTATGTCGACGATAATAACGGCGGCTAACTTTAACACGTGAAGTAATAGTACTTGAGAACTCATATCGACCGATCTGCTCTCATGTACGAGAAACAGACACCTTTTGCATTAGCAAATCACTTCGTACTGATCTGTGGGTACAAAAGATCTGCTCTCATGTATTTACTGTATACACTAGACTGAGTGGTACACTGCTTTCTCTTGAACAAGCTCTCAACTGGATAGGAAAATAGAGCAAGGAACCTCCGTCTGGGAACGTGAACGAGGAGAACGAAACTCATTTGATATCAATCCACGCCGTCAGATCTGCCCCAATTCCTCGTCTACGTAAAAGTCAGCTTACATTTAACTTAAAGTGTTGCATGCACATCTTAAGTCATGTTTGCTAACAAAACAGGATCTCCATAAAAATGAAATTATGAAGCTCTGTTGCATAAGCACCTCTCAACGGTTCACCGCCTCATCGTGGCTGGGAGGTGTTCCTGGGTGTCGGGCTGCGATGTACAGCGGGGGGAATTCAACTCCCTGGCAGAGTCTCCCAAGCTGAGAAAGGAGTCCGCCGTTTCCACCAGGAAGCCTAGCTAAGAGTGAACCAATCGTCCAGGTATCGAAATCGCTTGGTGGCAAATCTCCCTGTGATCCACAAGGGCTGGGACTGCCCGTGGTGGTGACGACCTGGGGTAGACTTTGGCCAGGCTGACCTCGGGATTCCAGTGAACCACATTGGCTTAACCAGGAAATCTCCAATAAATGGTAATTATGCTGGGGCCAGCACAACCAGTGAGGACGGGCCGTTCAAGTGTCAACTGTCAAGTTGCACAAGCAACGTAATTTTTTCCGGCGAAAGACGAAATTTATACTTCGAGGACAGAAGCGATTTCGTCCAGTAAATATGTTAAGTTATCGTTGATGTCTGTGACTGTTCCACACGCGGTATGTGTGACATTTGGACTACACTTTAATTTTCTGAAATCCGTTTTTTTAAACGGACTTCAAATTGAAGCGACTGAAAAATCTGTACCCATCAGCTTCTGGACGATAAATCACAGTTCGTTCTATGAACATTTTACCTTTTCATTTCCTTAAGCACTTTATTAACTGAAAAGTATGCAAGAGCAGACGAAAACTCGGTAACCTTCCTCACAGCAGCTCGAAAAAAATTGGGAGTCCATGATGTGCCTTTTAAAAACAATTGACTTCTCTGACACCGCTTGAGGAAGGTACCAAACATGAAATGAACAATATGATAGAAATAAAAAACCGCACGTTCTCACCCGGTGCACTGCTTGTAGTCGAACATACGGGCTAAATTTATGTCGATACATACGAGGACAACACCAACGCAACTCAATGGGCAGAAATGCAGCAAGGGTATGTAGTAACTGCAATACATAAAAGATTTCTATAAGGATTCTACTATAAAACCATACATCTATCTATTTAGGATGAAAAACATATGATTCGGCTTTAATGAATATTTGAGGGAAAGGCCGTACGCTCGAATTCATCGAGCACCTTATTGATAACTCAATGCATATAAGGTCCACACAAATACTTGCGATGTTCTACCGTCTCCCGCTCCTTCGCTAAGCGCGGACGAATAAGAAATTGGTAAGCAATGCGCGTGGGACTGAACCAATGAGCACGTGTATATTAACTAAGGCACCTCTAATCACTACACAAGTCCAATTTTACTTATTAGTAAGTAACAAGATATAACACTCACCCGGGAGACATAATGCGTATCTGATCCTATAATGACACACTGACCCTGACTTTGCAAAACTCCAGAAATAGCTTTGGAGAGAATCTTATCGTCTTGGCATCGTCTCTGTATTAGCAGCGTATTTCTTATCTGGAAACTAAACTTACATGAATGAAACAAATTTTAGACCAAGATTTGGTCTCATCCCTCCCCTATCTGCCATATATCTATCAATTTCGACCATTATAGTAGTTCTTATAGTTTTACTTAGGCTAGTTTTCTTCCCTCCCAATGGTTTACCACCACACCATGGCTGGGAGGTGTTCCTGGGTGTCCGGTTGTGACGTAGAGCGGTGGAATTCATCCTTTTAGTAGGGTCTCACAAGCTAAGAAGGAGTCCGGCGTTCTCATCAGGAAGACGAGCTAAGAGTAAACCAATACCAGGATCGACCATCGTCCTGGTACCAAACTAGTGGCATGGTGGCAAATCTCCCTCTGATTCACAAGGGTGACAACTGCTTGTGGTGGTGGCGACCTAAAGGTAGACTTTGGCTAGGTTGACCTCAGCACTCCGGGGAGCTACAATGGCTAAACCAACAAAAACCAGAAAAAAATCGAAATTACGTTGTGGCCCGCACAACCGGTGAAGAGGCGACCCAAGTATCCAAGTAAGTAATTTTTTTTACAATCAGCATTGAAGTAAATAGGATGCAAAAGTAGAAAAAAAAGACACTGAAGCAAATACACCAACTTGCATGTATAAAAATATCTTCTAACAGAATACTTACAAGAAGAGGACATAATTCCGATACCAAGGGATAACGGTCCAAAACTGAGATTAGATTAACCATACGTGTTAGATCCAAATTTGCCCGCACAATCACATCTTCCCACGGTTCCTTCGATAAAAACAGGCTCATTGTAGCATAGCAATTCTGGTACACGAATCAGGAAGTACTTACGGTCATTATAGACGCCTTAAGTTTAGGTATGATGTCGAGCATCACTGATTCAACAAAAGCCTGCCTCTCCATATACCACTCCAACCTTAAAACCAACATCTAGAACTAAATTCTTTGCTAGCTTAAGCCGAATAGAAGATAACTATTAGGTCCAGAACTCGTATAACTATCACTGTTTATGTTCTAGGTTAACAAGAATTCAATTCTGTATTCTCAAAACTTGACAGTGCTTTGTAATAAAATTTGATGTCTTCACTTTTTGCTTCGACTTCTCAGTTCCATTTGTCATGATTGAATTCAATTGAGGTTACTTAAATAGAACACGGGAAAGAAATTCCGCCCATTTTCTCTTCAGGACACAAATAATGAAAATAGGCTGCGCATTGAATAAATGGGAAACGAGAAGATCGTCCTCATAAACCCTGTTCCGCGCCACTTTTTTTTCCATGGTCTTACACTTGTGTGGATCGCAACAACTCTTGAAGTTGGTTCGTTTTCCTCGAAACAGTTATCCACGAAGGCCTTTGTATTGCTACGTGGATTTAGCTGCTGCTTGAGGCTTTTCATCCTCTTTATGAATGTCAATGAACGCTAGGGAACTCTCACAGGGAATGGAGGTACTGAGCCGATCTGAGACCAGGCTAGTCGAGTGCAGCGTGGTGTCAAACCTACGCCCAGGTTGATTAGGCCTCCTTATAATGAATGGCACCACTGCATTTCTGTGAAACCGAAAATGAAAAAAACAGCTTCTTATTCGAATTGCAACATGTGACAAGAAACTGATTCTGTGCGATATTCAACAGTTTATCGCATCAAAATAGATTTTGCATCAAGATAAGATTATGGTGATTTTTTCGTGTTTGGCGCTTGGGATCGCCAGCTTTAATTTCTAGAATCCTGGGCTTGGCCGAAGGAAAAGTCTCATAAGGTATTGTATGCTTCTTTCCATTCATGAGTTCGCACGAGGGTGTTAAACAACTCTTATTCGACCAACACTTCGACGACTTCGGCTTCACCAAAACCCGAGTGATTCGAGTCGATTGTCCACTGCCGTTTGTCATCGCGATGCGGCTCTTCGTTGTCCCAACGATAGGAATTTTCTAGAGGGCAGAACCGCTTGAATGAAGTAACTTCACTCCACAGAGTCGTTTTAAACAGGACGGTGCCGGATGCAACCGGCGTTGATCAAAAGAAAGCGACCATGGTTACTGCACAACGACAGGCACACGTAGCACGAACAACACCGTCATTGTCGGGAGAACTTGGTCAAGTAAGGGTCACTTATTCAACATATAGAGAAGACTGCTCGCTAATTAAATGACACTTTTTATGTGCATAGACAACGACACGTTGAGGAATATTTTAGAAAGGAAGCCACGGCTAAAAATAGTTTCAAAAGGTCGAACGTTCCAAAAACCTAGAACATGATAGAATAAACGGCTAAATTCAAATTCCAAAAGTTCCCCTTTCGATAAAGTGAGTCGTGTTGCATCTGTGTAACTAGAAACCAGCACTATTGATATGCAATTCATTATGTAAGTTAACCCCACTCTTAAGTTCGGTTCCTAGAGCACAATTTAAGCAAGCAGGGAAATTACTGAAACATCTGATCAAATAGGAAAAGTTTAAAAACGACAGAAACTTAACCAACGTAGACATATAAAGAGGAAACAGAAAAACCATTTTCCTAAACCACCCAGTTCTCTTAGTATAAAATAATCTCTGGAAATTGAGAGTACGACAAAGGTTCATTATAATGACTGCGTTATTAAAAACAAAGGCCATCTTTCCATCGAATTAACCTCTCTCGACTGAATGCTTCCATCATAGCTTTAAACCCATTAATGTTATGATCTAACGATATTTTCGTCAAAACACTTTTTAATTAACTAGATTCCTTCCAGTTAACGCAGCGATCACTCTCCTAAAACCCGATAAACGCGATAACTTCATGAACAACTTTACACAGTTTAATCCACTGAGGTTTCTAACCGGTTCAGTTAATTTAAAAAAGAACTTAAGGTATTATAACATCAACACCATACCTTTGTCATTTTGAACTAGCAGAGCTCCAAGAAGAAACTTACTTGCAATTGTTCATCAAGAAAGAAATTGCATATAAAGTCCTGATGCCATCCGGTTGTGACATAGAGAATATAAACGATCCAACTAATAGACTCCGAGACGGAACTACTGTCATTTTGTGCATAAGTGGATTGGACGGCAGTTGTGCACTGCAACGTACAAAGTAATGGTAGGTGAAAACGACAAGAGAAAAAACCCAACCTGAAGACTTGTTCTGCCAGAACAAACTTTGACACAAACACCTCATCACTGACAGGTTCTTCAGGAACACTTATCGGCAAGTCAAGAACCGAGATGTCGTCATCATGAACAGACCCACGATATGATTCAGAGGTTAACCTAAGTAAGAACGATTACCTAAGAAATCATAAAATAACTGCTCAATGAAATAATTATTCAGTCACTAAAATCACTTTGGATCGTTGAATGGCCCAAAAGACGTTGTCGGTGCGTCAGGCAACGATTCTGCTAATGGCGATAGGCAGAACCCACTCAACTCGCTGTGCGTAGAAATCGTACCGCCAATCCCAGAATCAACGCAAGAAGTTGTTAATGCTAAAGAGTAACAGCGATGAACCGTCATAATTGGGAATACATGGACCTTACCGCTTGTCAATTTCTCGAATGGTTGTTCATCTCTTTCATCAACTTGTTCAGTCACTTTTTCATTGTCCGAGGTCTTCGAGAATAGTGAGATGCATGTATTCCTAGTAACAACCATGGAGTTCCCAGACGTATTCCTGTTCATAACACGTACATAACAAAGTGCGTTAATTCCTCTGAATTTTTAACAGTAGGTGCCCAATGCATAACTCTGCCCTATTATCGGGTTCTACGGACTTGGTATAGGTCGGCCCCATTCTGGGTAATGGATAGTGGCCCTATACTAGATTAGCAAACCACGATTTCTCAACCCTGCCAACGATTTACTGCCTCACCGTGGCTGGGTGGTGTCGAACTGCGATGTGCGGCGTGGAAATCATCCTCTAGCATGGTCTCCCACGCTGAGAAGTGCGGCGTTTCCATCAGGAAGCCTAGGTAAGAGCATACCAATACCAGGATCCACTATCATTCTGGTATCAAATTGGTAGCATAGTGGCAAATCTCCCTCTGATCCACAAGGGCGGCAACTGCATGTGGTGGTGAAGACTAGGGGCAAACTTTGGCCAGGCTAACCTCGGGACTCTAGGGAACCATCATTGTTTAATCAGCAAATCTCCGAAAAATGGAGAATATGCTGGGTCCCGCACAACCAGTGAGGATGGGCCATTCAAGTATCAAGTAAGTGATTTCTCAACAATGAATAGTTGGAAAACACTGCAGTCTGCACTTGGAAGTATTTCATGAACTATGTTAAGCATAACCATAATAATGCTGAGATATTTACAAAACTCCGAACCGCAGGTGTCCGCGGTGAAAAACGAACACGCTGTTACCTTTACCGGGGGCTAACGAGTTCACCACTACACCATCCATGTCCCTTGTCTCTCAGTTAGTTTTATATCTACCAGTGCCATCAGCAGTCACCCATCAACGGGATATGTTGTGCCTCTGATGAATCTCTGAAAGATCTAGCGACTACGTGTACCTCGACTGTGACTTCACGATGGGTATCTGCTTTGGAGGCGTAGTTCCATTTCAGTTGTTGATTACCCATTTTCTCGAAGACAAACGTATCACTGCCTCAAAAACATTGACAAAATGTGTAGGATGTTGCAAGGTTATACTAACCCATTTTCATTACATATATGAAAGAATTCCAAGTCCTATGTGAATTGTTAAAGGGCGGATAGCACAGTGGTAGTGATGCCCGTCATCACGAACAAGGTGCTAGTTCGGTCCCCTCCGAGCTAACGAAGCCTTTCATCCCTCTGGGATCGGGGAACTGGTACCGGACTTCTCTGGGAAAAAATCACTGTCTGCAATCCAATTGAGAACGCTCCAGCCCGGCTATCCCACGACTCCAGGGTGAATTGCTCGACCAGTATTCTACGAAATTCAAGATGAAACGAAAATTCTCAAGCAGCCGACGGTACACGTAAAAACTTGGAAGACCCTTGTAGACGATGGATGTAAGGAAACGAATTGGATGTGAGAAGTGCTGGGATCCACACAGTAGGCGTGAAGACGGATAAAATAAAATAAAAACGAAAAAATGTGGATTGTTCATCGTGGGTAAGAGTCACAATATGTACGTAGAGTGGCATACCTATGTATAATATTCAAATTGTAAGCATGTGTATGAATGAGGTCAAGATGGAGATGGAGAAGTAGCAAGATCTCTGAGCTTTTGTTTCGTCTTTGAGCGTAATGTTTGAAGCATTGTTAAAGAGTTAATGTAATAAAACTCGAATACTCTTCCTGGAGAAACTTGTTTTGAAGCACATTGTCTTCTCTAAAGATTGGTAAATTCTGAAAAAGTCTAACTATTTATTATCTTATCGTAGAAAGAAGAACCCCTAAATATCGGACTTCAGTGTTCAGGAACAGCAGAGGTGACATCTGTGCTGTCACGACAGTTTTTTGTGGTGAACATTATTCAGCAGCAGCATTATTACACTGCGACATGGCTTCCCGAGAAATACAAAGTGGCTCTTCAAGGGTAACGCCTTGTCCAACATTCGTTTTGGACAAACCATCGATTTAATGCAAAAATCGGAGCAAAGAAGCTTTGTGTGACAAAATAAACTACCGCAGGGCGTCCAATAGGACATACGCATTATTCAATATACCACACTCCCCATGAATTGTACACAATTAGTCTGGGGTGTCTCGACTTTACACGTGCCTTTAGCAATATTGGTAGAACACTGTATGTAACTAACCCCATTTCAAACTTATCTTTGTAAACTTGTGGAATGGGGTAATTTGATGGCGAAATGGATGTGTCCAAGAATTTTGTGGGTGTTTCAGTCACTGGATCGATAGCAGCCGTAGGATCGCCAGCCTTAACCATGTGATGATAACTGTCGACTAATAGTGAAACAGCAAATAACAGAATCGTTCTGCCCACCTCATCGATCTGCGCCAACTGGTCCGTGATATGCATCAGTGATAACGTAACAGTCGATGATACAGACTTTACAGCAGGAATATCTTCCTAAATATTGAGAACAGTGGAAGAAAAAGGAACAGAAAACCTTAGAGCTAAAACCTGTATCATGGAGTTCGTCACAGTAGAATTCGAATCAGAGGCACTACAGTGACTGTCGTGCATTAATTCGTCAAGATATCGTAGTTCTTCAGAAGCGTTACTATTGCCCCGATTTAGTAAACAGTAGTCGTGGTACAAATAGTCGTCCACGAACATACTATCGTAGAGTTCTCCAACGCTTGTTAAGTTCGTCTATAAAGTAAGAAGCATAGCAACAAAAAAGCAGTATAACCATAATGATCCTGAGAAAAATATAGCTCGAGTAATAGAACAGTGATATATGGAAAGAACTTTGCGTTCCTCATCAGGCCGAAGCTTTTACGTATAATACGATTGCCTTGGTGAGGCTTGAACTCATCGTCTTCAGATTATGATCCTGATGAGCTATCCACTGCGCTACGGAAACACGTAGTTTTTACTCTTTTCTTAGTCTTGTCTTCTTCTCTTCGTCTCTGGCTCTGTCCTCCTTCTTAGTCATAGTCTTCTAGCCTTTTACTAACACGCAGTTACACGTACTTCAGCCTCATGAGGATGATGAGACACTTGCAAATCTCCGGATCGCTAGTGTCTACGGTGGGGATCGAACACGCTATTATCACTTCCGGGGTTAACGCGCTCACTAACACAACATGCAAGTCCTTCGTTTCGGCTTTCTGTCAGCCGTGTTATTGTTAAAACAAGAAGTATCACTCATTAAGAGAACTCATTTCGTAAAGCAACTGTTACTCAACGTGTAAATAGCACATGTATTATACTAACCTGTAAAGGATCATCGATATCTTCATATTGCGCAGACTGCGTTGACATCGAGGAAACTAGACTTCCCTCACCATTTACGGAACCCTCTCCACTGCTTAGGTTTAACGGAGACACCGAATTTGATGGTATCACCTGTAAAAAATCCATGAATAAGTTTAAAAATTATCTTCTAAAAAGCCAGAAATAAGCAAATGCCTGGAAAATGTACAGTGTTGGAAAACGTTACCTCCCACACAAACTTTAATTCAGGTCCACACATGAAATCAAATGATGACCAAACAACCTTAGCAATATTGGAGACATTTCGCAAACGAATTTCAAGCCGACGTACTGCTGACTCACCCTAGAACCATTTAAAGCACCAACATTTTGGGTAATCAACAGTTATATTGAAAACAGACCAGCTATGAGTAGTGGCAAGGAAAGGTAACCACCGAAAATTCTATAAAGCTTCGCATATATAAAAGTATATACGCATAAAAGTAGAGGAAAAAGGGATAAAGTTCTAGGTGCCGATCAATCCCTGAGGGACGCGCCATCACTCGACTTCATTAAGCATCGTTGGAGGTGAATGAATGCATATCTGGCCTTCACAATGACTTGCGGTGGCCTACTAATGTATCAAGCCAGTTCTACTATCCTCCTAGACAAGTCTAGTAACAATTTGCTAACCTGGGAGGGATGGAAGGCTTGCTGGGCCACAGTAGTGAGGATCGACTCCGTGTGTATTGCAGAGGCCTCTGACCACTACGCCACATGCACCCTTATATATATATATATATACACGTATAAGTATGTATATATATATGTACGTACGTGTATATGTCCGTATATACACATAGGTATATGTGAGACTTATCCGTCAAAAGCATATAGCATATATCCAGATAAATACTTGTATTGGCTCAACAAGAAAACGACATGAGGGCAGATATAGAGGGTTCTACACTCCAAATAGTACGAAACAGAAGAACTAATTCCCACGACCGACTTTCTATTAACTTCGGCTGTGATCAAGTAATTCCGGACATTCCTGCTGAGCAAAGCTTCTTCCAAGCTTTGAGGAAGGCGAAATCCGCCAAAATGTCGGCTTCACGGGCGGAATAAAGAACAAAGTAACACGTCGTGTCTACCCAACAAGAGTATAAAGTAATATTATCATATTTCTAATTAACTAGCCCTACGTAAAGAACTTTAAGAGACTAACCTTATGCAAAGCATCATAAGTAGAAAAATACTCCTCCGCCTCCATCACAATTTCCCAGTCAACCGTGATTCCATCAGAAATTACTCTTATAGCAGACTCCGTAATTTGTACCGGATTACGAACTACAGCTGCTTGACCAGCTAATTGACTGTACGCAGATGTTATTCTGTAAAATCTCGTGCGTTCAAATCCGTGGACCGATTAGCCGTGGTCCTGTCCATTTCGCATACTAATTCCTCTCCGAGGAGTGTTGTACTTTCAGATGCGGTATTTTCCTTTTTTTTTCTTTTTTTTTAACCTTTCCATCGAGCGTTTCAGTAGAAAAAGTTCAAAAATACATGGGGAATCTAGCACTCTCTTTTACGGCGATCATATTCCTCTATACAGTTATAATTTTCTTTGTACTTTTCTCGGTTTTTACTTAACTTTTTTTTGTTTCTTGCCAAAAACGTTGTGCTCTATAAAGTCTAGAAAGTATAATCGGTCGGTATAAAGCGTATCGATTGCTTTTCTATCGAACAGGTACTCCCAAGGAGTGTTTTATATCCAGGATTTTTGTACTTTTTCGCCATCATATTAAATGTACTTTAACTACAAAAATAAATAATACTTATTTTTTCCACAAGATTATGTCAATCTTTGTGAAGTCGCCGTTCTCATAGAAGTTGTTATGTTTCTTAGAAATATTTTGAGGTCCTTATACCCGAGAGATGGATTAACTGAACGGCAATACCACGTTTCCGTTGGACTTCCCGTAGTTCAAAACAGTATTAAATCAAAAGATACATATGAAATAGACAGTCCATTGATTTGGTACTCTTACTTTGACATAAGATTAGCATAAATGAGAAGAATATGCTTTTATCTTCTAAACGAAGCGTAGAGTCTAGATCCGGGTCACTGACTGCTCTTCTTTCTTCTTTTGTCATTTCATTTGCACTATCTCCCATCCAATTCCTTTTTGCTAATTCCATGTCGGCAGTAATCGGCAGTATCGCCTTCTTCTTCAGAGCCGCTTTTTCGTGACTTCCAATGAGGAAGTTTAGAACAGCTGATTATAGTCGCATGTGGTTGACGACTCAAAACGAAACGTCAGCTAGCGTTGTATTGTATTGTGTTTTTATGGAAGTAAATGTATGCTGTTTAAAAACCTCGCGATTGCTGAACAAGAAAACGACACGTTCATATTCCAATGCCGAGGTTAAGAGAAAGTCGATCCTTGGAACTAGTACATGTCAGTCCTCAAACATACGACTTACGTGTCGCAAAGCTCGGGTTTTTAAGCGAACATGTTTGATGTTGTATCATGACCACAGTCAGATATTGGTTAGATGATTTCTTCCAGATTAATGCAATAACTTTCGTAGGATGTCGGTGGAGCAGTGGGTTAGTGATGAACTTCACGCCATAGTGGGTCTGAGCGATCAGACAATATGTCAGTATATTTTGGCACTTGCTCGCAAAAGTGCTAACACTGAGGACTTCATTGGAAAACTCAGAGACAATGACGCACTTGAGATTAACAACGATATACGACAATTCGCTTCACAACTTATGCAGAAATTACCGAGACCAGGTGTGTCGATAATATTCTATATCCGAGAGAGGATACGTGGTAGTACATCTATGTCTACTCCTGGAAATTTTAGTTTCCATGGTTAGAGTTGGTATATTTTCTGTAGGAAGGCGTAGTGCAGTGGTCGAAGGCGCACTGCAATACGCATGGGTTTGTTCCTACGCCCAACAACTCTCCATCTCTCCAGCGTCGGAAAATTGGTGCCAGATTTGTCTGGGAGGATAGCAGTACTGACTGTATGCATCATTAGGTCACTGCGAGTCATTGCAAAGGCCAGTTAATGAAATCGAATTCGTAGCCCGTCCCTCTAGGATTGATCAATGGCGAGAGCTTTATCCTCAATTCTTTATTATATTGTATTGTATTTATTGTTTTAGCTACAAAATTCACTGGTCGCAAGGGACCATCAGCGGCTGAATTACGTGAAAGAGAACTAGCAAGGCTGAGCAACACGCTGAAGGTGCTAGAAGACGTATCCACTTCTGTGAGAAAATCTTCACACCGACGGAAACGACGCGAAAGCAGCAGTGATGATGAGGTATAGTTATATGTGGTAATTACCGCACTTCTTACTTTAATATTAGACAAGCCATCTTACTGGTATTCCTTTTGATCTTTCCGGACCGTTGCCCATAAAGGTGACAGGTATCGTGTGTAACAGCACATCTCGTTAAAAGGGATGAGGAAGGTGTACAAATTTGAAGGTGGTCTAGTTCCACACTTTTGTAAGTGATTCTTCTCGACCATATATATTTCAACGTATTTTGTCGAATCGGGTCATCTATGTTTGGTGGTGTGCATTAACATAGAATAAAAATAACACCTCGCTTTTGCTCAACAAGTGTAAGAAATTATTTGATCAGTCCCGGGTTGAACAGAAAGTCGGTCATGGAATTAACACAGAAGGCTCGACATATCAGGAAATATGATATTGATAGTAGCTTGGGTTTAACTGGGCTCAATACGGATTTGTGTTTCCCAGATTAACCTCGTTGACGGTTGATTGATGATAGCGCCAATAAAACATGGCTGAGAGAAGCGCGAAGCGAAGGACATGTATGGTGTGGTGGTGAAGACGTTGGCACCCGGATAGGGTAATAACGAGGTTCGATCATCAACATCGGTTCGGAGTTTTACAAATATCTCAGCATCATTGTGGGCATAATATACATCATACTTTGCCATGAAAAAAAAATGAATAACTAGAAAGTGATTACATCGTGATATCGTTTGTGTTATTTCATTTCTCCTAGGTTGAACAACATTCGAAAGTGATGGAAAAAAAGCCGGAGAACGATCGCGAATCACATAGTGATTCTGACTTTGAAGCAATAGAGGGAGAGCTGGATCGCGATATCAAGGAAAGAGATGAATTGTCTGCGAGAATACGGCAACGAGAGAAGGAGAAGACACGAAATGTCCTTGAACAGAAAAGGAAAATACCTGATAATAAGGTGAGAAGATTGTTTTTGTTGGTGTTTAAGTTCTATCTTTGCATCTTTTGCTGTTAACTTCCTTTACGGTGAAAACTTTACATCTGTTTCGTCTCTGTTGTTTGCTGCATTTAGGGTGTTAGGAAACTTCTGCTTGTATATAAATATGCTTATCTTCAAATATGTTTACGTATATATATACAAATATGCTTAGTTACTTACTTGATACTTGAACGGCCCGTTATCACTAGTTGTGCGGGCCATAGCATAATCACCGCTTTTCGGAGATTTGCTGTTTAAGCCATTGTGGTTCCCTGGAATCCCGAGGACAGCGTGGCCAATGTCTGCGCCAGGTCTTCATCACCACAGGCAGTCCCAGCCCTTGTGGATCAGGGGAGATTTACCACCATGCGGCTTTGACACCAAGACGGTGGTGGATCCTGGTATTGGTATAGCCAGGTTTCCTTATGGAAACGCCTGACTCCTCAGCTTGGGAAATCCTGCCGGGAAGACGAATTCCGCGCTGTACATTGTAGTCCGACACCCAGGAACACCTCCCAGCCACTATGGGGCGGTAAACCGTTGAGAGGGTTGAGAAATTGTGGTTTGCTAATTTAGCATAGGGCCACTATCCATTACCCAGAATGGGGCACAAATATACATTTACATATATGCATGTATATGTTTATACAGGTGCGCTTGTAGCGAAGTGGTCGGAGGTGCCCTGTAATACACACGTGGAATCGATCTCCGCGCTCATGCCCACCTATCCTTCCATCCCTCCGGGGTCGGCAAATTGGTACCAGATTTCTCTGAAAGGATGGAGGCACTGGCTCGACACTTCGGTAGGCCACCGCGGGTCATTGTAAAGGCCAGGTATACAGTGAGTCACTTCTGACGATGCTTGATGAAGTCGAGTGCAAAACGCATCCATCAAGAATCGATCGATGCCGAGAGCCTTATCCTTTATATATATATATATATATATATATATATATATATATATATACATACATTCTTATATAATATATACTTACTTGGATACTTGGACAGCAAGTCCTCACTGGTTGTGCGGGCCCCAACATAATCTCTATTCTTCGGCGATTTTCTGGTTTAGCCGTTGTGTTTCCCTGGAATCACGAGGTCAGCCTGGCCAAACTCTGTCCCAAGTCATCACCTCTACAGGCAGTCACCGCCCTTGTGTATCAGAGGTAGATTTGCCACCGTGCGATTAGTCTTATACCACGGTGATGGACCCTGGTATTGGTTTTGCTTTACATATAATACATATATATAACCATTGCAAACGTTTAGGATAAGGAAGGCGTTAGCATAGAAAAATTACGAGAGGAATCACGAAGGCAATACCTAGCCAAGCGGAAAGATGACAAACTGGATGAATTGCGTAATGTCGTCATGGATGATGAATCCCTATTTGCAAATGAAGAGTGAGTATCCTTGATAAATTTTTCATTGAAAGTAAATGTAATTATCGGTATTTAGTCTTACTGAACGTGAACGTAAGGATATGGAGTATCGTAAGAAAGTCCTTGAATATGCAGAGCAGCATGAGAAAGCTGCGGATATTATGAAAGCTAAACGGTATTATGTTCCTGATGCCAAGGTTAGAACGATTCCCACGGAGTATGTTGAGGAACCCGAAGAATACCGTCATGGAGGTAAAATTTTCCCGGTTTTGATGTTAAGTCGTTTTTGTATCTGTTTTTTAGTATCCTTGTTGCAGGTGATGGTGCTAAGTGGGAGGACGAACAACTGATGGCAAGTATGCTTCACTATGGTGCAAAAGATGCAAAATTAGTGAGTTCTTTATTAAGAATTTCAATCAGTGTGTTCTTAAAGGCTATGCTGAGTTTTACGTTGGAATAATAAAATGTTTTAGAAAAAAGAGGAATTTGAGCTCTTGCTCGATGACAAAATTGACTTCATTCAAGCGCTGCAAATGCCAGGCACTTTGGATCAGGAGGTGTTTATTTTTTGCCTTTTTTTTAAGAAGCATTCTCCAATCCTTCAGCGATGTCGCTGTTTTATATTGATTTTAGACCGAAGAGATGTCAGCTATACAGAAGAGGAAAATGACTATTGATGAAACCAGGAAGTCTTTGCCAGTTTACGCATTCCGGGAGCAGTTCATCGAAGCTGTTAGAGATCATCAGGTTCTCTTCCGCGACAGTTTGTGTTATTACTCTGTCTGTCTCTGCTTATTCCTAAGTCATTCTTCTCGACAAGGCACTATGATGTGATTTCAATGCATGCGTGCCCGGAAACGCACTATTTAGATTTAAGTAGTCATATTAGGAGAATGAATTTTCATTAGTCGATTACCACGCTCGCTTTAAAATAGCATGTAGGAGTGATTTTGCACTTTCTTTACCAGAGTATCCGTAGCTTTTATGAATGTCATTACCTTCCCAGATCTATTCAACATTTTTGGCTACGTGTGAATCATATATAGCATATAGAGCTGTTATTGTTTAGGACGTCTAATAGTTTAAGACAAAATGGTGCTTCAGAGAAAAAAGTCATTTTTGAGCTTCAAGCTTCCGAGCGATACAGCATTCTGTGCTTTACGTCTGTCAAGGACTATAGTCGATATATTTATTTATATGATCTTATAAACTGATCTTCTTAAGCTGACGCGAGGTTGGTGCAGATCTTCGTTGTCGTTGTCGTTGTCGTTGTTTTTGATGTTATTGAACGATGGCTGACGTTTCGGCGACTTCGCCTTCCTCAGAGCCTGGACGTACTTTATGTTAGAATACTTTTTATTATTCGGTGGAAAACAAGGTTAAAGTATTAATGAAGATCAAACTTTCAAATAGACGCCATATTGAACAGAAAGGTCACTCACCGTGATGTTATGTGCGGGACTGGCCGACACGTAGTTTACGCGAGCAAGACACGCCCCGGGGTCAAAATATCATTTTGAAATAGGGCGCCAGGTCACGCGTGATAGTGAGGCATTCGTCCTTCCGGTTCATCTTTGCATTTTTGAAATTTATCCAAAACGCCTCAAGAGTTTTGCGCGTTGATGTTTTTGATTCCTGCGCTAGGATCCGCACATTCACTTCAAAATCATCGCCGTTGTGCTTTAGTGTCCTACGGTTTCGAACTAACTGGCGGCGTGGGGTATTGGGTACCCTACGCCGCCAGTTAGTTCGAAACCGTCTCTATGATCGTTTGTGCAGCTCAGAAAACTGTATGATCTGTCCTAACGGGAGAGACGGGGATTGCATGAGTTTAGGTATAATATACTTGATCTCATGTAATGCATGCGGCGAGGAATATATCGGGGAAACGGGTAGACACACTTTGTGTCCGCATAAAAGAACATCTAGATGGGAAAGCTAAAATCCGTTTAAACACCCCTCTAGGTACGCATAGGGCACAAAAGCACAACGGCGATGATTTTGAAGTGAATGTGCGGATCCTAGCGCAGGAATCAAAAACATCAACGCGCAAAACTCTTGAGGCGTTTTGGATAAATTTCAAAAATCCAAAGATGAACCGGAAGGAGGAATGCCTCACTATCACGCGTGACCTGGCACCCAATTTCAAAATGATATTTTGACCCCGGGGCGTGTCTTGCTCGCGTAAACTACGTGTCAGCCAGTCCCGCACATAACATCACGGTGAGTGACCTTTCTGTTCAATATGGCGTCTATTTGAAAGTTTGATCTTCATTAATACTTTAACCTTGTTTTCCACCGAATAATAAAAAGTATTCTAACATAAAGTACGTCCAGGCTCTGAGGAAGGCGAAGTCGCCGAAACGTCAGCCATCGTTCAATAACATCAAAAACAACGACAACGACAACGACAACGAAGATCTGCACCAACCTCGCGTCAGCTTAAGAAGATCAGTTTATAAGATCATATAAATAAATATATCAACTATCTATGCCGAGGTTCATAGAAAGTCGGTCTTTCGAGTTATTAAGGACTATAGTCATTGGTAGATTTCGAGGAATTAGCTCAGTTGCGAATGTGTTGAGTACATGTATTGTCTTATTGTCTAGTGGTCCTATGAATGCACACTTTATTTGAAACATAAAGATTGTTATATGTACTTCTTCTTTGATGAGCTTACACGAGGTTGATAATGACATTATCAACCTCGTGTAAGCTCGTGAAAGAAGGAATACATATTGATTAGTGATACCGAGGTCCAAGGAAAGTCGGTTTCGAAATATAAAGATTGTTGATTCTATCGAAGAATAATAAGCAGCGCATGTGGTGCAACGGTCAAGGGTGCCCTGCATACACCTGCGCTCGACCTGACCGAGGCTCACCAAACCTTGCATCCTTCCGGGTTCGTAGAATTGGTTAGACCTGTTTGGGAGGTTAGCAGCACTGACTCGATGCATCGGTAGGCCATCGCGAATTATTGTAAGGGCCAGATATGCATTCAGTCATCTCCAAACCATGCTTAATGAAGTAGAATTCATGGCGCATCCCTCAGAGATTGATCAACACCGAGAGCTTTACCCTTCATCCTTTATTTGTCGAGGAATAATTAGTCATATTTCACAACGCTGAAATGGTGTTGTCCAATCTTGCGATATGACTTTTTTGTTACGTTATTCACTCGCTCATGAATTGTGTTCTAGATATTAATCATCGAAGGAGAAACCGGTTCTGGGAAAACCACACAGCTTCCGCAATATCTTTATGAAGCTGTAAGTTTTGTCGTCGGACTCTTATGTGTTCTCTTCGAGCTCATTTTCTTCAGAACTGCTTAAGGGTTTCTGTAAAGACGGGAAGAAGATTGGTTGTACACAACCACGACGGGTTGCCGCGATGTCTGTAGCAGCGAGGGTTGCCGAAGAAATCGGCTGTAAACTAGGCCTGCAGGTTTATTTTACTTCTAAATTTTCGCTTATTTAGAAGAAATACTGCATGTTTCAGGTTGGTTATAGCATTCGTTTCGAGGACTGCACTTCAGAGAAGACGGTATTGAAGTACATGACAGATGGAATGTTGTTGAGGGAATTTTTAAACGAACCGGATCTTGCTAGTTATGGGTGAGTTTTACATTCGATGCCTTCATGAATTCGTTGCGTTACATCTTTATTTTCCATTAATTTTTAAGTGTCATGATGATCGACGAGGCACACGAAAGAACATTACATACCGACATACTTTTCGGTCTAGTCAAGGATATCGCTAGGTTTAGAAAGGTCTGGGATTTCGTTTTATTCACTGAAATCAACTTCGGTCTCTATGGAGAGATTTTCTACTCATAAAAATTTAATACACTTCAGGATTTGAAACTTTTAATTTCTTCCGCTACGCTTGATGCTGAGAAATTCTCCACGTTTTTCGATGACGCTCCGATTTTCAGGATTCCCGGGAGAAGGTTACTATTTTTCTAACGTTTTTACGTCTTTCTCCAATCAAGAATTTCACACGTCTCTATATCAGGTTTCCCGTTGACATTTACTACACTCAAGCACCAGAAGCAGATTACTTAGACGCTGTAATGGTCACTGTGATGCAAATTCACCTTACCCAACCCCTTCCTGGTGACATCTTGGTATTTCTTACAGGTAATGGTTTTATTTCTGCTTGTAGAGTTTATTGTTCCATTTTCAGTTCCTAGATACCTACTTTAGTTTTTTCCTTTTTTTGCGATTGCACACCTTTTATTTTTCATAGGTCAAGAAGAAATTGAATCTGTGCAGGAGGCAATACTAGAAAAGACGAAGGCATTGGGAAGCAAGATTAAAGAACTCATTCCACTCCCAATCTATGCAAATCTGCCTTCTGACTTGCAAGCTAAGATATTTGATCCAACACCCCCAAACGCTAGAAAAGTGTGTAGGTTTACAACTCTGTTTTTCCGACGTACTTTTTTGGAGTTTTCTTTCGTTAATCTAATTTATTTTTCGATGGTTTTACACTTGCAGTACATAAGAAACGTTAAAAAGACGATAGAGCTGTGAATCACTGCTTATATCAAAGGCCAGAGTAAAGCACTGTGAGTCACCCGAATGCGGACCACACTGTTCTCCTTCTCCTGTCTAATTCCTCCTTCATGTTGTTTTTAATGTTCATTGAACGCCCAAGGTACACTTACGACGTGGTGTTTGTAATCAAAGAACCACCCAGTTCGATTTGTTTGCCTTCGCACCATGGGTGCTTTATGAACTGGACCTTCGTCCTATTTATGCGTGGTCAAGTCTCCCTTCCAGTTTCGTTGAGTTCATTGAGCATCGTATCTATTGCGTGGGTACTCCTCGAAAAGATGAGGATGTCATCCGCGAAATGAAGACTTGATAGGAATTTTCCATTAATGCAAGTGCCCTTCTCGTCGCAATCGACTGGCTTCATTATCCATTCCAATGCGGGAGGTAAAAAGGGCAACCCTCTTGGGCAGGATGAGCATACGCGGAGTTCTCCACTGGTTTGCGATTTTCTCTTTATGAAGGAAAGGTGTGGTTTCAATTGCATATCATGGCGGAATGTAGTGTTGGTTCCATCTTCGTTCATCACGGTGAACAGCGGAACATGATAGTTGCAAAGATTCTGACTGAACTTCAGGCTGTGTCGTTTTTCTACGGTTTCCAATAACTTCTTGTGCCTATTTTGGCTTAAATCCTCCTGCATAGACCTTCTACGGCTGGGGTTTATTACCAGCCGTTTTAGGTGTGCTGTGGCAGGATCAAGCTTTAGTTTCCTTTTCTCACCTCTTTAGAGATAATCGTGGTGAAGTCTGGATTTCTTCGTCGTTGTCTTTCTCAGTAATCGCGAGGTTGTTCAACAGCATACATTTGCTTCCATACAGTAGCGCACATACAACACAACCTTAGCTGACGCTTCGCCAGAACCGCCTTCTTCAGAAGCTACGGTTGTGTTGTATGTGTGTTATTCTATGGAAGTAAACGTATGCTGTATAACAACCTCGCGATTACTGAGAAAGAAAACGACGAATTTATAATTCCAATGCCGAGGTTAGTAGAAAGTCGATCTTGCGAGCCGGATTTCTTGTTTGATGGACTGAAGCGAGTTGAACACAAATTTTAAGTTCATCGACAAGCAGCGTGTAGTTTTCGTTCGGGTCTTCATTTGTCGACCAGTATTATGGGGGAGGATTTTATCGAGAACGTTCTTGTCATGCAACAGTTGTTTCGTTTTTCTTCGGCAGTGACAAGAATTCTTTCCCAGCTTATAGCTGAGTGGATTCTTCGCACGGAGAAGGCGGCGGACAGACCCTGTTCGCAGTTTAGGTACTACTGAGGTGTCAGAGAGACAGTACTTTCTGTTCGTGAAAATATGATCGATTTCCGCATTAATTGTGCTACTAGGAAACTCCCACGTCAATTGGCGATTTTCTATCCTCTTGGAAAATGGATTTGTGTGAAAGAGATGTGCTGCGTACAGGAGTTGTTACAAGACGGTTTTCATTATCATTTCGTCCTATTATTCCGGATTTTCCTTCTCTGTATTCATATTAGTAGGGCGTTCCTAGTCTAGCGTTCATGTCTCCACCAACGAAGTTTTAGGGCTTCTATAAAAGAATGAGAGGAAGAAAAGTCTTGTGGAACTGTAATACGAGACAACTGTAATAAATAAAGGATAAAACTCTGGGCGTTGATCAATCCATGAGAGATGCGCCATGCATTCGACTTCATTAAGTATCATTTGGAGGCGATTGAATGCATATCTGGCCTTTACAATGACCCACGGTGGCCTACCGATGTATCGTGCCAGTGCTGACATCCTCCCAGACGAGTCTGGCACCAATTTGCCGACCTCGGAGAGATGGAAGGCTTGGTGGGTCATGGACGCGGGGATCGACTCCACATGTGTGTTGCAGGGCGTCTCCAACCACTTCGCCACACACCTCTTTCGAGACTATACGTGTATATATATATACATATATGTATATGTATATATATACATATATGTATATATACTGCGTACGAGTATATATATGCATATATATACACACATATATTAAACCAATGCCAGGATCCACCACCTTCCTGGTCTCAAATTAGTCGGATGGTGAAAATCTTTCCCTGATACACAAAGGCTGCGACTGTCTGAGGTGTTGAAGACCTGAGGCATGCTTTTGCGAGGTTGACCTCGGGATTCCAGCGAATCATAATGGCTTGACCATCAAAACTCCGAAAAATGGAGATTATGCTGAGGCCCGCACAACCAGTGAGGACCAGGCCATTCAAGTATTCAAGTATATATTTGCATATATATATATAAATATATATATATATATGTAAAGTTACTAAAGAAGACAACGAAAGTTGCTAATGAGAATAGTGTATATGATTCGTTCCTGGTGACAGTGCAACCGGCATGAGTTGATCACAATTCACTACATATACATCGAAAGATTTTTGTCGTGCCTTAGTTACTAAGGACTTTTAAAAAGCAAGTTATGTGAAACAAGGTATGGAATTGATTGCCGCGTCAGAACTCTATACCGCGTAGTTAAGAAGACTTGTCGCAGTCAGTATATACACAGCATGTTACAATGTGATAGCTTTTTCTCATTAGTGAGGGATAATAATTGTTGGCGGAGCTTGTATCACTCCGTCGGACCTATTACGGATTATAATATTTTTACTCTTGATAACTCTTTACGATTTATTTCTTGAGAGCAGGAGATGTGGATGTACAGCTTTATGGAAGTGCGCTTATCTTGAATATGTCATGAACTTCCGATGTAGTTCTGAATCCAAACTTTTGTCAGCCAGCGAAGAGTTTTACGATATATCCAAAGCTTTAGTCGTCTATTCCGAAAGATAAACAAATTTTATGGTGGAATTTGCAGACAGCATTTATTTTCTAGAAGTGATCCAACGGTCTTTCGGATTTTCATCGGCGAAATTTATCTTTATGCAGTTTCATTAGAAGCAGTGGAATTTAATTTTGCAACAATCGTTGTAATTCATTCAGCTGAGTCATATTAATTAGGTGATTCTCGCTACAAACATTGCTGAGACATCAGTCACCATTGATGGGATTTGCTATGTGATTGATCCAGGCTTCGCGAAGCAGAATTCCTTCGATGCGAGAAGTGGAGTGGAGCATTTGCACGTGGTCACAATTTCCAAGGTCTTATTTATTATTTTATTTGGTGGCTTACTCCAAAGTTTATGTTCATGACATTATTTTTGTTATACTGTGGTAAACTGTGTCATCTACTTGAAAATTACTGGTCAACGAAGAGCAGATTTCGTACAGAATAGGAAAGCGATTAACGTATCTTTATCCTGTAATGTTGTTTCGATCGCTAAGCTGACAGAGCCGTTTATTTATTTCTTCCTGAATTCGTTTAGCCTGATTTTTCAGCAAAAGATGGATAAAAATGTTTTGTACATCGGTTAGTATCGGCATGTGGTATAGATTCGAGCAGATAGTGCTGTTTCCTCAGCGGATTTATAGTTTGAATGCGAATATGGCGAATAATATAGACGAGATTTCCCAACACTTACCTCTAATATTTGTACTACTTTGTTTTAGGCTTCTGCTAACCAAAGGGCAGGTCGTGCAGGGCGAACGGGTCCAGGGAAGTGTTTCCGTCTTTACACTGCATGGGCGTATAAACATGAGCTAGAAGATCAGCCTATACCTGAGGTTTGATGTGTTCACCATGTATTTATGACTTTTCTCTTAACAAGTTATCGCTTCAACCACTCTTTTAGATTCAACGGACGAATCTTAGCAATGTGGTCTTGATGCTAAAGTCCCTCGGTATTCATGACCTAGTACATTTTGACTTTTTAGATCCCCCACCTCAGGTCAGTGTTACATAATTGATGCTCAATTTCTAGTTATTACCTATTGTCGCGTTCATCTTTAGGAAACTCTGGTGATTGCTCTGGAGCAACTTTATGCACTAGGAGCACTTAACCACCGAGGAGAATTAACAAAGCTCGGACGACGAATGGCTGAGTTTCCTTGTGATCCTTGCATGAGCAAAATGATCATTGCTAGTGAAAAGTGAGCGCATTTACGCCTATGTGACTGGCTATCGTGGGTCATTATTCTCAACTGAAGCGTTTTTAGGTATGGTTGTTCCGAAGAAATTGTAACTATTTGCGCAATGCTGTCTTGTAATGCCGCTGTATTTTATAGGTATGAAGTTTTTTCCTTTATGTGAAACTCTTTTGAGTTTCCATCTTATCTGAAATGTCACGATTTTTCGACATTTAGACCAAAGGCCATGATTATTCACGCTGATGCAGCAAGAAAAGCGTTTTGGAGCCAAGCTGGAGACCACATCACACTCTTAAATGTTTACAATAAATGGAAGGAGACTAATTATTCACAACAATGGTTTACCTTATGCCATATTTTTCTTTGTAATCATCGTTATAGTTTGACTTACATGGATACTTGGATGGCCCATCCTCACTGGTTGTGCGGGGTCCAGCATAGTCTTTATTTTTTTTGGAGTTTTGCTGATTTAGTCGTTGTGGTGCCCTACAGTTCCAAGGTCAGCCTAGTCAAAGTGCCGCAGGTCGTCAAAACCACAGGTAGTCGCTGCTTTTGTAGGTCAGAGGGGATTTGCCACCATGCGACTGGTTTGGTACCGGTACGGTGGTGGATCCTGGTATTGGTTTACTCTTAGCTACGCTTCTCGACGGAAACGCCCGACTCATAGTTTGGGAGACTCTGCTGGAAGATTGAATCCTGCACTGTACATCGCAACCCGACACCCAGGAACACCTCCCAGCCACGATGAGGCGATGAACCGTTGGGATGTGTTGTAGTTTTATATGCATAGATTTTAACTTTGCTTAAACGGGCGATATCGAGTAGTTGTTCTCAGATCGTTGATTTGTTGAAAGATTTTGGTTTGAATTAGAGCGATAATGTAATACATTATTCCTAGTTACGAATGCATTATGAGAGCGAAATGTAATTTATGGATTTAATTTCTTTTTAGGTGCATGGAGAACTTTGTGCAGCATCGTACAATGAAGAAGGCTAGAGACATACGTGATCAGCTTGAAGGACTTCTTGAGCGAGTAGAAATTGAACCGGTACTTTTTAAGCGTATTTCTATTAGGTCATTATTAAAAAACAACTTCCAAGAATGGATTCGTCTTTATGGTTCGTCTACTATTCTTCGCTACTGTTGATCAAAATTTAGGATGAATAAAGGATGTGTATAAAGAGTCAGATACTAAATTCCTTACAGAAATCAAATCCATGTACGGTTGCCATACGAAAGGCCATTACAGCCGGCTATTTCTACAATTGCTCAAAGCTCGATAATTCTGGTAAGCTGACCTCATTATTCCGTTTTATCACCTTCTAATTATCTGCGTGAACATGAATTCTTATAGTTTTTGAGGAAATGCGAATGTCTATTGCCTTTTCACTATGTTAAAAAGATTATGCTGCTTTATATAGTAGTCTTTTCTACAATGTCTGTATATGATATATCCATATTGACTTATTTTATATTCATGTTATGGTCTCGATCTCACGTGATGTACTTTATACATACTTGGATACTTGGATGGCCTGTCCTCATTGGTTGTGCGGGTCCCAGAAAAATTTCCATCTTCTCGGGGTTTTATTGGTTCAGCTATTTTGGTTCTCTGGAGTCCCAAGGTCAGCCTAGCCAGTGTGCCCCAGGCCGTCACCGCCACGGGTGCTCGCCGCTGTTGTGGAGAAATTTTCCACGATTAGTTTGATGCCAGGACGATGACTCTGGTACTGGTATACTCTTACCTTTGCTTCCTGATGGAAACGTGGACGGACTCCTTCCCAGCTTGGGATATCCTGCCTGCGGGGATAAATCCCCCGCTGTACATCGCAACCCCACACCCAGAAACACCTCTTAGCCATGATGAGGCGCTAAACCGTTCGGAGGGTAAGACTTTGTACACCACTTCATCGTATATGTACACATATCAAGTTTTATTTTTGTTTGCCCTTCTCATACATATCTTTAACAGGCCATTACAAGACGGTGAAGCACAAACATACTGTTCATGTACATCCGAACTCTTGTTTGTTCGAAGATTTACCTCGATGGGTTGTTTATTACGAGCTCGTCTTCACAAGCAAGGAATTCATGAGAGAAGTCAGTCCTTAGTAGTTTTAGACATCTTTACTATTTATTTGTACCGGTGTCTTATTTCAGATTAGCAAAATAGAGAGTTCTTGGTTGTTAGAAGTAGCTCCTCACTACTACAAAGGACGTGAGTTAGAGGATCCCACAAACAAGAAGATGCCTAAACAGAAGGGCAAAACTGCACAAGAATTGTATACGTGACATGTTGATATTTAACTAACCTCTACATTTCAACTCGGGTTTTTGAGGAGGATATTTTTGATAACGATTAAAAATAGCCCTCGAATTTGCAGTTGTATGGTTCAACCTGTTTGTGAGTTCTATGCTATTAATGTTCATATTGCCACTTTATGCTGTTGTTGATCATTGTTGATATTGAAATGAATTTTGTTATTTATTAAAATTTAGGGAAGTTTTTTTGTACAAAAAGAAACAATGCTGCCTAGCACTTTATGGAATTCAAAATTGGAGTAGGGAAAGACAGAGTCTGTTCTATACATCAGGCTTAAAGCGGTTTCATACACAATTTGTCTGACTTTTAAGGAAAGTCGGAATCACAATGTCACTAATTGAGACTGTTTTTGATAGTGGTTGTGCGGCCAACTCGCTAATGTGGGCAGCTTACTTTTTCGCACCATTGTCCATCGACGTGAGCCTGGACTCGTGAACTATGCTCATCTTCTTCCCCTCCTTACTATGGCGGATGCCATAGAGGAAATAAATTGCGAGGCCTGAAAACAAGGTTTTTTCGATAAAAAAAGGATAACGCTCTCGGTGTTGATTCGTTGGAGGTGATTGAATGCTCCGGTCTTCACAATGACTTGCGGTGTCCCGATGTATCGAGCCAGTGCTGTTATCCTCTCAGACAAGTGTGGTACCAATTTGTCGACCCCGAGGGATGAAGAGATTGGTTGGCGTGGGGCGATATGCATTGCAGGGCGCTTCCGAACAATTTGCAACACGCTTCTCTCTGCGATAGCATATTTAATTATTGTTGCTTTCGATATACCTATAGACATCCAGACGATGAACCGAATCCATGTCAGGTAATCTAGATACGACATCATGAATACATTAATGAGAAGTCCTAGGCTTGGAATGAAAGGGACGAGTGGCACCTGAAAAACGAGTGCTCTTTCATGATTCCATATATTTAATAAAGTTTGTATTACTCACTCGGAAGCTTAGTTCTAAGGAGTTTTGTTCGTGGCCACATATAAAAACGAATGACGCAACTGTCAAGGAACCACTGAGACCGAACGAAACATAATAGGCAACTGCTGAGGACATTTCTGAGATATGGAATGATTCTGTGTATAAAACCGCTTTGCGGGACATGCAGTTCATTATTATAATGAGGGGAAAGGGGAAGTTATGGGCAAACTATTACCGAATTTGATACTCACCAAGTCGTACAGAGAATGCAAGCCAAAAATATCCCAATATCAGAGTGACAACTGCTATGCAGATTGTTCTCCCTTGTGGTAGACTCTCCCAGAAGTTGCGGAACGGAACCCATGCCTTAAGTCTGCCACCTAAATCAATAGAATAGGAAAAACATAGTGAACTTGCCCTGTTATCTAGGAATATGTTAACTTCAAACAAGTTTGGACACAATTCTAATATAACAACTATAAGAATGCTACGATATGAGCGAAATTCGGAATCTCAGGTGGGTTTCGAACCTGTGACTACCTTTACCGAAGGCTCACTTGCTATTCACCAAAGAACCGAGGTCACTGCTTTATCTTTCTCTCGTTCACCTTAACGGTGCTATCAGTAACTAACTGTCGACGGGAATGATATGAGGAGCACAAATCGGCAGTGAACCCTGTTTTTGTTGAAGTTGCAGTCGAAATCATAACGTTTTTACCATTGTTTACTACCTATTCTTTTTTCCAAACGCGACTGTCAGAAAGGCAAAGCAAGCGCCATGATTGGCACGGTGCACGGTGCAAGTTAGCCACCGATAAAAGTAATCGCAGGCTTACAGCGGGGCTGTTCCGAGTTTTGCTCATACCTCAGTATTCTTGTGATTGTACTTTACATAATGTCTTGCAATGAAAAAAAAAAGAATGGGCAGTAAATGAAAGTCAAAACTCCCCAACATGTTACATCTTAAATTTTGGCATTCTTTGAAGCATTAAGGCGAGAATATCTAACTTGGCTTCACTGACCGTAGACCTTTCAACATTTTCAGATCTTTCTTAGATGATAGAATGACAAATGTAATTGTGGTTGTGAAGAAAACAAAAACCTTTCGTCATTATAGCATCTAGGTATTTTTGTGTGATACACTATATGGCGGCTTTTCAAGAAAAAGGATGACAGGTACAGTTGAAAAGTTACCGTTGTCAAGCCTCTCGGGGCTCTCATCTATGGGTGCAGCTTGATGTCGAAGAATCAACACACATGCAGATACCATGGAGTAAGCGAGGAGAGTACCAATTGAAAGGAATTCAACAAGAGCCGTTAAGTCAAACACCAAAGCTACAGTAGCATTTAGAATTGTGAACACGACAATAGCAATCAATGGAACCTAAGAAATTGGAATTAAATATAGCACGGTACACAAAGTACATCACCGTTTATTACTTCAGAGGAACTCTACTAGTATCTTCAGAAGTACTCACCTGCGAAAATTTGCTAATTCGCGCAAAACATGAGAAAATCAACCCATCTTCTGCCATTGCATACACACAACGTGGGAGAGCAAAAACGCCACTCACCTGAACACATACCGTAACCCCTGACCAGAAACTTTATAGTATTTTTTAGAGATGATTTAATGTCTGGTATGCCACTACATAACGGCATGACTCGAGATTTTAAAGAGTGACATAGTAATGTAAAGAAACGAAGTAATGTCTTTAATATGATATCGCAATTTCGTAATAGGGTCTTGGAGAGAGGATAGCATGGTGGTTAGTGAAGGCGTGTGATGTCGTCGATTAGGAAGCAAAATACGCTAGTTCGATCCACGACTTAACGCTCTTCTCCAGTCCACATTGGAACCACTTATCTCGGCCATCTCCAAGATTCCAAGCAAAATCGACTTGACCAGAATTCTATGACATTCTTAAAGAAGACGTAATACTAAAGCAGCAGATGAAGCAGTATGTGGAACGTTCGAAGACCATTGTGGATGATAAGTGCGAGGAAAGTGAATCGAATGCAATAAGTGCTGGGATACCCACCATAGGTATGATTTAGGCTCATTCAAAATAGTAATAAGTAAAGTAAATAGTACATTCTTGAGGTGGAAAATAAACGCACAACTCTTTTTAAATGTTATTTAGATAAGTTATTCATTACTACACGCGACACTACATTTATTATTGTGGGAATTCCAGTATTTCTTGCAGATGATTCCTATTTCCTCATCTACATCCATGAAAGTGTTCAAACTTTTTCGTCCGTGGTGGTTCGGCTGTCACTTGAGGACTTTCCTCTTGTCATGAATGCTGTCAAATGCTGCTCGAGTCGATTCTCCCTGGACTCCTGAGATAACCGTGCAACAAAGACCAACGTTGATTTTGGACGGAACGAGCCTGTCTCAAACAGGCCTGGTACCAACTCCCCAACACCGGGGGAATAAGAGGCTTAGAGGGTTAGATAACATGTGAACAAACGGAAAAGGTAATAACGGGTTCAAAGCTCAACTGTTGTTCGGGATTTTGCTTATATCTCAACATCACGAGTCAGCAGGATTGATCTGGGGAGAACAAATCGGGATTAAACCCAGTTAAACTAAGGTTGTAGTCGAAATCACAATGTTAATCTTCTATTTTCTGCCGCTGACGGGTGATTGCTGATGGCATCGTTAGGTGGGAAAACTAGCTAAGAGAAAGGCAGAGAAATGGCATCCATTGTGCAGTGTGTAATGCGCGAGTCCCCAAGAAAGGGAAATTGTGGTTCAATCTAGCCTGGGGTCCAAGTTTTACGAATATCTCAGCAACGTTGTAAATGTGTAATTGTAATTAACATCATACCCTCTTGTAAAAAATTATAGTAAGCAGAAAATAAGAGTTTGATGACAAAAAGATCGATAGAACTAGCTGAGAGATAGGCGAAACGAAGGACCCGCATGGTGTGGTGGTGAACGCGTTACTCCACGGAAAGGACAATAGCGCGTTCGTTCCCCACCATAGACACCTGCGGTCCAAAGTTTTGCAAATATCTCAGCAACGTTGTGGTAATATTATTATTATCAATAATAATAATAATAATAGTAGTGATGATAATCTTTCCAACGGTTTACCGACTCATCGTGACCGGGAGGTATTTCTGGGTATCCGATTGCGATGTACAGTGTAATGGGGATTCATCCCTCTGGCAAGGTCTCCCAAGCTGAGGAGTCCGGCGTTTCCATCAGGAAGCCCAGTTAAGAGTAAACCAATACCAGAATCTGCCACCGCCCCGGTATCAAAGTCGAATGGTGGCAAATCTCCCTGTAATCCACCGGCGATTGCCTGTGGTGGTGACGATCTGGGACAATTCTTGGCCTGGCTGACCTCGGCAAGAGCCACAGTGACTAAACTAAGAAAACTCTGAAAAACTGGAGATTATGTTGGGTCCCAGCACACAACCAGTGAGGACGGGCCATCCAAGTATCCAAGTAAGTCGGCGCTTTTGCCTTTTCCGAGACTGCAATAATTTGAGTTGATCGTCGACAACCGTTCGTTCTAACGATGTGGATCTTCATAGTTGCATCGAGCCGAATATTCTAGATTACAGCACTGGTAGAATGAAGTAGTTTACCTCGGCAGCGCCTTTTTATACAGTAAGCTCGTTGAACTATTTTCATCTATTTCCATCTGTTTTCATGGTGTTAATGCATCCACAGCAGTCGATGTTTCATTTGCGGGTAAGTGGAAGCAATACTTTAAAAACATATCTTAACTTATTTGTATGTTTTTATGAACTGCCGTTGTTGAGTTGAAGCGTGGTTGGCATGATTTGTCGTTGTTGAATTTGTTGTTTTTGTTGTCGTTGTTGGTACTGTTATTCTTGGTCGATGGTTGACGTTTCGGCGATTTGGTCTTCTTCAGAGCCGTGCTGTTACGAGTGGGACTCGTATACTTTAGCTTAGCTTCAACATGGCTAACGAATGGCTGCGGACCGTCGACTACGATCACTGTGGCTCCGAAGAACGTGAAATCCCCGAAACTTTAGCCCAGTAAACGATTTGTAACAACCTCGTGTAATTGGGACAATCCAAAAAGATATTATTACTGCAGAAATCGGTTTACAAAAGTATTTTGGTTAAGCTACGATTTTCCATCACTTCACTTCTGTCTCATCAGTACTAGTGCTAATCGCCGAATGTCAGGATCCTGGTAAAATTCTCGCTTTGCATCTCTCATGTGTCAGAGTTGTAGAACGAGTTGTACTCCAAGAAGGACATTAGCATCGCATTATGCGACATTTTATTTCTGTTGAGCTTTTGGGGTAGAATGCTATCGAGCTAACAGGTTACGGCCCACATATACGTCCATCGCAGAAGCGGTGGTTTTTCCTTGGAAGCTACTTCGAATTTCTGCTTCTCCCACTGTATTTCTTAGGTTGCAGATTTTGGGAAATCGATATGCAAGATATAATCTGCAAACAATATCGCGAACATAACTCAATCCTGCATTGCAAAGACAAACAATGCATCTATTGAATAAATCTATGCCTCGCAGAAAGTATTTACATTGTCGCCCCTAGTGCTCGTATATTTTTCGCGAGGCCAACAACAGTGGCAGTTATGTAGCCTGAGATGAGATCGATTGCATGACGGAGATTGGAAGGACAGTTATGAAGCAAAGTTCATGGAAAGAAGCCATCTTTGAGAGTAACTTTGCATCTATGATGCATCAAGCTCGGCAATAATAGTTTTAATAAAGAATTTCAGCCCTCCCAAAGGTTTACCGCCTCATCGCGGCTGTAAGGTATTCCTGGGTGTCAGACTACGATGTGCAGCAGGCGGATTCGTCTCTGGGCAAGGTCTCTCAAGCTGAGAGGGAGCCCGGTGTTTCCATCAGGAAGCCTAGCTAAGAGTAAACGAATACCTAGATCCACCACCGTCCTCTGATCCACAAGGGCTGCGACTGCCTGCGGTGGTGAAGACATGGGGCAGACTTTGGCCAGGACGAACTCGGAACTCCAAAGGACCATAATGGCTTAAGCAGCAAATCTCCGAAAAATAAAGATTATGCTGGGCCCCGCACAACCAGTGAGGACGAGCCGTTCAAGTATCAAGTCAAGTAAGTAAAGAAGCTTAGCTGACCAGGTTGTTGAGCATTCCAGCAAGTGCTCCGATTGTGATGACGTATTTGGCGATAGTGGCTCCTTTTAATTCAAATGCGGCTGAGAATGCAGCATCCAAACTTACCTAAAAAAAATCAGTTTTAGAAGAAAAGGGTGGGATTCATTGAATGAAAGAGGTCAATTTGGGGGAAAATTGGTAGTTGGAAGTAAGTGGGTTAGGAAAGAGAGTGAGCAACGGTCCAAATAGAGCACCAATTTACATGGATTCTACTTTATATATATATATAATCGATAAATTAAGCGGGTGTTATATTTTCCGAAATATTTGAAGTAGAAATTCTGGCTCGATGTTGGATGTGTCATAGACGTCACTTTGGAACTTCATGAACGTTGTGCAGAATCTTTGAGTGTTCGGCCCACATCCCTGTTGTACGGCAGAGCTCCGGAAGTTTTGCTGAGTAGAACAGAGAGTATGAAAATATGCGGTGTTATTCGTGAATTTCTTCGAGAAGTCCAAAAGCGGCCACTTCTTCTTTCTATCGCTTACTATGTTACTCCTCCAATTCGTTATGCAGGTCTAGTGAACAACCTAGATATACGATTATATGGTCTTCGTGATAAAAAAGTTGTCTAGACCAACTCCGTTTCTTTTCCCATTTTAGGAAAGGTTTTTATTGAGAATATCTATTCCAGCATGCACTTTTCTGATTCAATGAACTCATCATTTTACCAAAACTCTCCCGTTTACCGATACTAGACGAAAGATGATAGTGTTGCTAGAAGTACGACGAGCTGATGAGACTTTCCCGCAAAATCACAGGCCCTTTTTTCACAGAGAGCTGTATTATCACAAGAATGTGACGTCGAACCTCTTCCTGAGATGGTGTGGCGTAATAATGCGCAACGAAGGAGCATACTAAGTCGTATAATAAAGATTACTTCGATTATAGTTTTTGTCTGATGCTCTTCTAGTGGCTTGGATTTCTCACATGTAATAGCGCGATGCCAGCTGAATTTTTCCACAAAAACTTTTATGAACAAATTTCATGTACTATACGTAGTTATTAGCTCATCGCTGTCTGGTAGCTATCAGATTGCGCTCGATCACAAACGAGTTGCGAACTAAACAATTTAGGTTGACTTTACTTCAGTTGTTCTTTAGTTCTGTAATTAAGGTGTTAAACTAGAATATGATATCGTGTTGTTTTCGTTCACTAACAACTCTTTAACAGAAATTAATTTAGGAATAAAACATAGGGCATTCAGCGACGATCATTCCCTCAGGGATGCTCCATTCATTCGACTTCAATAAGCATCACTGGAGGTTCATTGATTACATGTCTGGCTCATATAATGACTAACGGTAGCCTACCGGTGTGTCAATTAACTTCTGCTATACTCCCAGACAAATGTGGTACCAATTTGCCGAACCCGGGGCTTGGTAAGGTCGGATGGCTGGATTGAACTAGAGACCACGTGTATACACAGCTCACCTCTAACCATTCGCTGCACGTGCTCTGCTCAGAAATATACATCATAGATTTGGAAATTCCTAGTGAGAAGCTGATAAATCTGCCCTTGATCTTTCTTATCAAGCCATTCGCCTTCTAACCAGGCTTCATTTTCAATGTATTCATTCTATTTAACACTCTTTTCCCTTTTGGGCTGTGGTAATTAGGCATCCGTTGATTAATTTAAGTAAAAATAAAATATTCCAAGAATTTTAGCCGAGAAGGAGCATAAAAATTAAAAATGAGAAAGAATACGTGTTTATTATTCACGCCGAGGTTCAAGAAAAGTCGGTTTTGGAAATGTTGTTACGCTTTGTGCTACCTGATAATAACGCCGATTGCAGCAGGATGGACTGTCCGGAGAAACAAGTTGTTATCAACGGACAATCATAACAACAGCAATGGTCCTGCATAAAGCAGCATTGTCCTGAGAGGTCGCCTCATCCGAGCGGTGCTCCATTGGACTTGAACTGGATGCGGTCACGAGGATCCAGATCGGAAGATGGAACAACTGTGGACAACCGAGTTGTCAATCCAGTTCTGAGGAAGCGAAGGCGCCGAAACGTTAACCGAATAAGATTTTTTATCAGCCTCGTGGAGATTCTGGGAAAGTCGATCTTCAAAAATCAAAAAGAAACAAGAATATCTTAGAAAGCTTTTATACCACATTCGTCTCAGCTCATTCACATAGAGAATCATTAAAAATGGAGTAATTGTTTTACATACCTGCTCATACGGAACCATCAATGTAAGAGCAGAGCACATCATGATGTAAAGAAATGTGACCAGTGACAAGCATCCAAACGTCGCTAGCGGAATGGTTCTCTTAGGATCTGAATTTTTCCATGAAAACCTTTATATATGGGTGGAGTGTGAATACATCAATGTATTTTTCTTTTCCTGTGTCTTTCATGCGATTTAAAAAAAAATTCATTTCAAACCTAGAAGTTCATTAGCCGTACTGAATCTGTATCATCTGTAACCCTACGAATCACTGTCGCCATCTGTAACGTTCCCATCTTCCCAGTCCTACGTAAAGGCTGCTCAGTAGGCTAATGATGCTCAAGGTGTGTGGAAATCATCATCAACATTACCACTGTAGTATTAGTGTTTTGGTGTGTTCCTTGGAAGATACCATAGGAATGAAGTTGGCTGCGTTGATGTTCCTATACACTTCCGCTTTCCCATGAAGATCAAATTCTTTTTCGAACAACTAATGATCGAAGTTGATTACTCGACGATCAACGGGACGACATCTATGAGTAGCTCGCAGGACTATGACATGCGGTTAGTGGTACTAAGGGGTATCGCGTAGTCCCCACGTAGTAAACGTTAGGGTAAACTGTTGGAAGCGACTCGACTCATTTGTCTGCAATTGTATTGGAAGGTTTTAGGCAAGCCGCTGTGCAAAGTACACAAAAGCACTGCGAGGTCATGTTGTGTCTACGTGAAAGAAAAGCGTAATAACCTATTTACCAACTTATTCAACTAGTGGAAGCGCGGTGTAGTGTAGGTATTAAACGACTTGAGACGCTTATATGATGAAATTTCTAGTATAATTCTAGAAAAGTAGTGATAAACAAACAATGGTTTACTAGTAGTTTAATTTTGTATACTTTTCGCCTCTTCGCCAGCAGTGGCTAGAACTTCGAAACCGATGAACGCGAAGAAGCATGTGGCAGCACCTGACACTGTTCCACCGAGACCAAATGGGAAAAATCTTAAGGAACTAGACTAAGTAGGCAAATACGCTATAGTCAAATCTACAAATAGAACTATTCAGAAATATTCGTCGTAATCTAAAGCGATTCCTTGGAGAATCGACTAATGTCAGGCTACTTTCTAAGCTAAAAATTAGAGCCGGAAAGTTTCCACATACCTAGATTTTCCTTTCTCATCGGTACCCATCCATAACGAAAAGTTCGCATAACTTAGGCCATAAATCGTAACAAATGCAATCACCTGAAGAAATTCGTTTTATTGAGGGTTCAAGATAACGGTGCCGATGTCCCGAATAGTCATTGCATATTAACTAAAAGCTCAAAGGTCTTAGTATGCCTTTGTTATATTGACGGTTATTGCTACTAGTGCACATTGAAGATTTGTACAACACCACCAAATGGCAAATGTAGGTTAACTGCAAATGGTTGGCAGTGCCATACTTTTTATGAAAAAAATGACCATTCGCTTCAACGGGCTTGCGAACACGCCGTATATATATATATATATATATATATATATTCTGTTAAGCAAGATTTTCGCTCACAGCTATGTTGAAGATGACGAAGACATTATTCACACTGGCCGACGACTTGGAACCAAGCGAAACCACAATGGCAGCAGCGCAAATCAGCAGAAAAGACATAATATCGGGATAACGACCAAAGAAACCTTTTCCCTGAATCACATTAATTATTGCCAAATTCTATATGTACTCTTGTTTCAGAGGTTTTCCTAGTTGGTTTCTAGGAGTCGTAGTTTTAAACTAGGAAGCCTATTACCCTGAGAAAAAAATTGCTGAGGTGTATAAAAGCACACGCATTTTAAAGTGATTTTGCAGGTGACACTGAACATAGAACTGTTTGCTAAAGATAGTAGTGATATAAAGATTTGGTTTCTAAACTGTGTGCCTCGTCGTGTCCCGGCTCGAGAAGGGCCAACTGGGCACGTTACGGAAATAAATAGATATCGTACGGTGGGTCACTTGAGAACTCGATTAAGGGTATAGGTAGTGCAGATGGTAGTGACGACATGGGTGTACGACACCCAAATACTAGATATTTCACTTGATTTAGTGTTTAGTGGTGTTCATTAAAATACCATATGGTGGCAAGTAGTAAGATCCCTTGTGATCCACCGAATATTGAAAGAAAAAAGATAGTGCTTTCGACGTTGATCAATCTCTGAGGGATGCGCCATGCACTTAACTTCATCAAGCACCGTTAGAAGCGACAAAATGCATATCTGGGCCATACGGTAACTTGTGGTTGCCTATTAATGTATCAAGTAATTGTTGGTGTCTTCCTAGAAAAGTCTGGTACCAATTTGCCGATCCCGAAGGGAAGGAGGACCCAGTGAACGGAAGGGGGGAGGGGGGTGATGTCTTGCTAAGAAAATCTGGTACCACTTTGTCGATCCCGAAGAGGAGAGTTTGGTGAGTAGAAGGGGGAAGGGGAGGACCGATTGTGAAACTTACCGAACTTAATGAGCCGACAGTTTCTAAAGTGAGGTTGCTTATAGCTCCATTTACTAGTGTATCGAAATAAGCTGACCATGATCGTGCCACTGCTACAAAAGAAATTGTTCATTAATCACGTGGCTTTGCAAAATGGCCTCGCGTATCATTCTTCTCATCTTTACACAAACTGATAAGTGCACTTCAAGAATGTTACTGTAGAGTATATGAGCCTAATCGACATCTGACACACCTGCGTTTCCTATCATATATTCAAGAATGACCGTCCATCCAATCACGAAAGCCCATAACTCCCCGATTCCCACATAGGTATAGGTATACGCACTACCGGCTCTCGGATATCTGCCAGTGTGGAATAAACATTTTAGAGTGAAAACACCTCAGCTAGGAATAAATTCTCCTGCTCACCTTGCTCCAAATTCCGCATAACTGAATGCTGACATTAGAGCAGCGAATCCGGCGCATATGAATGAAATAATGATTGAGGGGCCTGTTTGACTGTGAACGACAGGACCTGGAGTTCAAATAAAATGCAGCCGCTTTTGTCATGACCTAGTCATAGTTTGATATTTCAAATTGTTCTCATCATGCACATAGTGATGTATCTATATTTTACTAGGCGGAGAAGTCTTTCGTTTCCAGCGGCATAGGCGCAGAATTTTTCGCAATTAGTCACCTGCAACTCGATGCAAGTCATAATTATTAGTCTTATTTTTTACTTTTTTCAGTCGAGCGCTCATTTTAAAAATAAGTAAAAATAAATAGAAACGTCTGATGCCAAAAACTTTGCACACTAACTTATCAGTGTGTAACAAAAAGAAAAGACAGGAAAAATACAAACCTGCCAAGACATATATGCCTGCACCAATCATCTGTCCTACGGCTAAGAATGTCACATCTATCACTCCCAGACATCTTTTTAACGGTGTCTCGAGCACAGAACCACCAGAAAACGTCTTTTTACGAAAGAGCACGTTCTTTATATCGACAGCTCTCATATCACCGACGATTAACTGAAACGGGATTGGGCTAGGTGGAAACTATTGCTTGTCAGCAATATTAGGTAGAAAACAGTTTGATGTTCAAGAAAAATAGCTTTGAATTTCTTCTTTTCTATGAACTTGGCGATGTCCACTTAAGAGCTGAAAAGAAAGTTATGGTAGGATTTTTAAAGGTGACCTGGTGATTTGCCCATTCATCACCATTGGTGACCAGTACTACGACAAAACCAGCTATAATAAACGGCCGATGGGGCGAAGTAAATGCGGTGGCAGTGGTGCCGTTCGAAACAATCAGGACCCTGGTTCGACCTCGCCGTGAAGCAATCAAATATCCCACATCCCTCCATTTTCAGAGTTTTTGTACCAAACTCTCTGACGTCGGTTAACCTCTCCAAGCCATAGAAGCCAAAGAAGAGCAAAAATCATCAATCAACAACAGAAGTCACATAGTTTGAATACCTTCGCGGATGACAGATGCTAAGAAGGAAATCGAATGCAAAAAGTGCTGGAATTGATACATTACGTGATGTTGAGTCAGATTAGATAAGATATGAAAAAATGTAAAAAAGTATTAAACTATTTCTGTGATAAATGGTTAGTTTGGAAGTTTGCAAGTTCCGGGTCACTCGAAAGCAATTGTATAACTATAACAATTAAGCACAACGACGATGCGGTTAACTCTTAGCTGCACTGTTGTATTTCTCACAATTGCTAGCTAACTGTTTAACAAAATTAAGAAACAGCTGAAGCATATATACTGACTTATTAAATATAGAGGGGGGGGGGGGGGACCGGATAGGGGCACCACAACATTAAAGGAGATAGCGTGTCTTATGCTGAATACATCGCAAAATTTACTTAATCTCATCGACCTTCAGGTCCGGGTATGCATTCCCTCAATATTTTGTTAACGAGTGCTCTATCAGAATTAGAATTTAAAGAATCATTCACATAGATTCTTTCTATTGGGTTTTACCATCCCAGTATATAATCCGTTGACTTTGTTCCACAAGGGAGCTATCGTGCTTCCGTGGAATGATTTCAGGCATGTGATTCCAACTGCAAGTTTGTGCTAAAACAGAAAAACTTTGCTTTACAGGAGTGATGAAGAAAAACGGCATTCTGCACAGATTCCCACGTAAAAATGGCATACATGCTGCTTTCGAGTGGGTAGTTTGAGTCGAGTGGGTAGTTGAGGTACTTCATGACAACCAGGAATGCTAGCGCAAAGTAAGGTATAGTCCTTTTTTCTTGAAATGAGATTCATTCTGTTATATCATTTTCCATCAGCAGAACCACTTTTCTTAGAAGTCCGTTTTAAAAGCATCTTTGAGGAAAGCGGAGAATATCCCTACAATCCACAAGCGCCGACTCCTGGCTGCTATGAGCTTCAGTCCATGTTTTCCAAGGTTTAAGAGATAACTACGTTCATTCAATATTCAGCTGTGTGTATATAAGTAGATATGTGAAATATGTATTTATATACATGTCTGTAGGAACATATATACATACAGACATGCATACATACATACATACATACATATACACACAAACACACACACACCTATGCACATATACATGAATTCGATCTTCTCAAAGCATGACGATTAGAGTAGAGTACAGTGAAGGAAATGAAAGAAACGCCGGTTGCTTGGGTTCATTTGAAGAATAGTCAACTAAGCATCCAAGTTTTTTAATGTGCAAGAGGGAACAAAAGTTGAGTGGGAAGCATAAGCCGAAATTGCTTCTCATAATTATGAAGCGAGTAATGTTCAGAAATAACGCTTTAGAGACATTGAAAATCAATACTGGTAAGAACCTGGAGATACTGATCACTGCGACGGGCGCGACATAAGAGAATCACAAAGGTTGAAGAGAGAATGGAATGTCCACCACGATGTTGGTGCTAAGAAAAAAAAATAGTGCGCGTGATTTGCGTAAAAACTGGAATGGCCGCTACGAGTTCCACGTGACTTGAATAAATCATAATAACTAGTTTCTACTCTGTTATCCAAACTGCCAGTGTTGCTGTTTTAGAAAAATCCCGAATAACCTAAAGATCTGTCCCAGATGAGACGAAAGTAGTTAGAGTTAAGGGGAAAAAAATTAAATAGCGAGCCTTCCTCAATCGTTAAGCTAACGTAAGGATGATAGAAGAAACGATGAAAAATAAGTAACGACATCCAATGTAGAGAAGAGTATGGACCGTGGATAAGGTGGGTACGGTGGTTTTATGTGTTATCTAGGTCGCTATCTATTAGAGTGCTCTAGGAGTGCTTCTTTTCATTAAAGCAATGGGAAGCAGTGAGAGAACCGACCTATGCCAACAATCGAGTGCCAGGGAAGATGCGGTATATTATGGATCAAGATGTCAGAATTCAGCTGAGCGAAACATGTGATACTGCTGAATAGCAATCTATTTGGTTGTATGCGATATCATGTAAACACACCGTTGAAGCTTTCGATTTGAAAGTCAGCGGCGTTAAAGAATACCTTGAGCAAGTGAATGAGCACTACGTAGTCTACGAAAGAGAAGGCTTGCAAAACAGTGATAAGTTAGAGTGATTTAATGAGGCCTTCAAGATTGCTTGGTGGAATAATTTGATCACCAGCGGGAGGAGACTAAAGTAGGTGACAGCGTCTATTTCTAACACATTTTGATAATTTGAAACCAATATGGATCTTCGCTTGCTGAGAAAAGTTTTTTTTACTTTGATTGTTACAACGACCATACAGTGCAGGTTCTCAAGATTGATTACAAGCGATTGTCAACGTTTGTAGGTTCACAAGCAGTCTCAGCTGCCTTAGAACTGGTATTTCTGATTGGTAATGCTTCATAAGCACTTACTGCTATCTAGAATAATTACAAAGGTCGAAGTTTTTTCTTAAACCTAAATGATTACTCTCCATTGACATATAGGTAGCTTTGGTTAAAACAGGTTTATTAGGTAAGGAAACTACTTGACTTCATCTACATGGTACTTTAAAGGGATAAAGGATAAAGCTCTTGGTGTTAACCAACCCCTCAGGGATGAGTCACGCATTCGACTTCATTAATCACCGTTTGGAGGTGATTGAATGCACATCTGGCCTTTACAGTAACTCACGGTGGCCTACCGATGTATCGAGAGTGATGTATAGAGCTAATGCTCCTATCCTTCCAGAGAGGTGTGAAAGGCTTGGTGAGCCATGGGCGCAGGGATCGATTCCTGTGTGTGTTTCAGGGCATATCTTACCGCTGCCCCACACGCACCCCATATGGTAGTTTAGAACCACTTAAAATAGCAATGATAACATTCCCAATATTTTAGAAATCTAGAAGGAACGAGCCTCTTTTTCATGTCGCACCACATAAACTCAAGTCAATTAAGGAAGTAATTGAAATTATAAATTATAAAAAATTGGCCCGAGATCACGCGTGATCTTGCCACTTACCTTCGTGTCGATCTTTGATGGGGGGTGGTGCAGTCGTCAACCATATGCGACTCTGAGCGGCTGTTCTTCCTCGGTGGAGGACAGGTAAAAAAGCGATGGGTTTTTCGAGAAGCCGTAGATCTTGTAAGTATCGTGCAGCTTTTCATCTTTCTGTATGTGTTATTGAAGCGTTTGACCTGGTGAGTTGCGTATTAGTGTACTCTTCCACGCTCTGAAGAAGGCGATTCTGCCGAAACGTCAGCTACGATAGTGTTGTATGTGTGTTATTGCATGGAAGTAGACGTACGCTGTTTAACAACCTCGCGATTGCCGAGAGAGAAAACGACGAATTAAAATTATTATTGATTGACAAAGCAAAATTCTCATCCATTTGTCGAGAAAAGTGCTCTGGACTCGAATCCCCATAAATGACCTTCGTCAGCTTGAGGACATTTTAATCCGACCTCATACAATGAAATTTTTCTAAGTCTAATCGGAATTGATCCCATACTTGTGAGTTTTTGAATAATAAACTATTAAAAGCCTTTACATATTCAATATTGAAACATTAAAGGTAGCTTGCCAAAAAAGTAGCACATGGCGAATCCGTCTCTCTAACGGTAGTTCAAGCAAACATTGAGAAGATATGAGAATTTACCAGATTACTCAACTGTTGTGAATATCAATGCCAAACGTAGTTTAAGCTTTAGAACGGTTGGTTCACTTCGGATGGCCTTCTCATTCCGTGCAGTACACTTGACTGTCGGAGGTTTACGAAATTACTGCTCTCAACGAAACATCTGGAACACTTGACTTAAATAAAGTATGAAGTCTTCAAAATCATAACAAATTCTGAAATTCTGAATCAATGAGGTCCAGGTGAGGTTCTAAGAATAAATCCAAAGCGACCGTGAATGCCATTTCCGTTTTTCAAACCCAGGAAATCGTGTAGGACATGGCTTCGAGTGTAGAATTTTTCACTGTGCACATGTGAATAGGATTATGAGAAAAGAGTTTTCTACAATTTCTCAAAGAAAATGCTCGAAGAACAGACTGTGGAAGCCGTGAGGGCAGGAAAATATCATGTGACACCATTAATCTGGTAGACAGAAATTCAGCCCACATCTATTTGCGTTGTGGATCGACAGCTGATCAGTATTCATTCATGAAATCGGCGTTTTATAGGCTTTTAAGATTAACTCCTGGTAGAACTCGTACGAAGTGTGTTCAAAGAACTGAGAAATGACTATCGGACAAGAGACTGTTCACGTCAAACTTTTTACTTCATTGCAACGATCGACTATAAGGCTTAGGGTTTAGCTGACAATCTGTTAAGACGCTGTAAATCACTAGCGTGCTAGTTATTCTTATGCTACAACCTGATCTCATTCGTTAAATGTCACAAACAGAGCTCATTACGGTAATGCAAAAAATACAGATAAAAGTTGTCATCACGTTGTATCGTGGCACGAACAAATACACTTAGCATTGAACGAAAATGGACTAAACCATTTGTTTCAAAAAAATATGCAGAAGAAAAAACTCAGATTTGGAGAGCCGTGAACTTCAAAATTTGAAAAAGA